AGAGCCAGGGGACAACCGTCCCGGACAGAGCCAGGGACGTTGGCCAACCGTCCCGGACAGAGCCAGGGGACGTTGGCCAACCGTCCCGGTCAGACCAGGGGACGTTGGCCAACCGTCCCGGACAGAGCCAGGGGACGTTGGCCAACCGTCCCGGTCAGAGCCAGGGGACGTTGGCCAACCGTCCCGGTCAGAGCCAGGGGACGTTGGCCAACCGTCCCGGTCAGAGCCAGGGGACGTTGGCCAACCGTCCCGGTCAGAATCGACGCGTCTTGCCAAGTGCGGCTGCCGTCTTGGAGAGCACGCTGAAACTGGAGCCGCCACAGCAAGCTGGCGCGGTCCGCATGGTTTTGTAATCACAGACGTTTATGCAGAGGGCAGCTACCGATGGTTGCGAACAAGGCAGCTGTTGCTATCATTGTCGCCTGTATGCACATGCATCTTGAGAAGACATAAGGATGGATGTTGAGACAGGCGACAATTGCATGAGCTGCTGCCCATCCACGTCCTTTCAGTAAGATACCATGTGACTTGGGGACCTCGCAAACCTACGATACAATATATCCGCTGCGTTTGATCGACTTTCAGCAATCTTGAGACTATAAAACAGCCGTAGCTGGGCTTTATGACAGCAAATGCATGATATCTGTCAATCATAATCCTCGATAAACCATTTGCTCATCAGAAAATTGCTATCCATCTGCAAGATATTTAAAGATCTGTGCGGCCGTGGCCATCTCTTAAAAGCAACCACGATCCAGAAAGTTATATGGGGTATTCAAGGGAAAGCATTCATTGCATTGCTATATTTTGTTCCTGCTGTGGTCCACAATTAAATTGTGATTTTTCCGGATCTTACGTTTCACTAAGTAACTACCTGCTAGGAACATTCTAGCATTTCGCGACGGCTTCCTGTCTCACAAAGCAGGGATCAGCAAGCCAAGAAATGATTACACATAAAAGCAGTCTATCTCCCACTTCCCCTCGATCAACCGGGCCGAATCAACCGTTAGATGACTGCCCGATCCAGCCATTTCGCAAATGTCCAATATCTGCGCGTTGCGGCCGTGTCAACACCAAAAATCGCGAGGCGTTGCGTTCAAGTCAAGTATTTTCTTCCGCCACAATTTCAGCCACTGCACCGTCGGCAGTCCGTGGTATCGTGGCAGAGTTTTTGGTATGCACGTCGCTCTTTCCACTCTCGCTGTGTTTAGATACCTGGGTAAAATATGATTCCCGCCAACACTGACAACGTCTTTCATTTTCTTGTTATGCTCTGAAACCATTTCCGGTACCAAGCCAGTAAAGCGTGGCGTTTTCCAGCGCTTGGCATTCCTGCTCCCCGCCGAGATGGCGTTACCCCAAGCAGAGAGGCTGACAGCCGAGAACTGCCTGACAAATTGCCAACACGGCAGTGCCTCGCCATCGATTGGCTGTGGGGCGGGCAAGACCGAGCAACGCAAACTTCGGCGGCCCGGCGTAAAAACATGGCAGTGGTCGACCGCGCCGCAGCCAACTCACACCGCGCCTCAATCGTCAGTGGCGCGCCGCAGTCGTCCTCGCCGCGCCGCTATCGAGCTGGTGTGGCCCCCGGACCGCACTGCAGCCTGTCAGGCGTGTCGCGCCTCAGCGCCGGCCGACCGAGCGCTGGGGTGCCACCTCACCTATCACACGCCTGCCAACCCCGCCGCCAGGTGAGCGGCGCGGCCGCGGCTCGTCACACGTCTGCCTCGATGCTCACTGGCGTCGGCAGCCGAGGGGACAGGAGGCCGCGACTGACGAGCCGTACCGGCGCTCAGACACTCAGAGACGTCAGAGCGGAACGAGAGCGCGGTGGAAGTCAGAACGGAGCGAGAACAGCGGCGGACGTCAAAACGGAGCGAGAACAGCGGCAGACGTCAGAACGGAGCGAGAACAGCGGCGGACGTCAGGACAGGGCGGAAACAGGGGCAGGCGTCAGAACGGAGCGAGAACAGCAGCGGACGTCAGAACGGAGCGAGAACAGCGACGGACGTCAGAACGGGGCGAGAACAGCGGCAGATGTCAGAACGGAGCGAGAACAGCGGCGGAGGTCAGAACGAAGCGAGAACAGCGGCGGCAGAATGCAGGGAGCTCGGCAGTGACAGGCTGGAGGGAGCTGGTCAGCGACAACGTGAGCAGCAGCGTAAGCGGAAAGATAAACAACAACATAACGGTTGGTATCGAGCAGTCTGTGGGGAAAGCTCAGCGGAAACACCACTTGAGAAAACTCAGCAGTGACAAAAGATCGGCAAATATCAACACGAACATTGTACGGAGAAAGCTCAGGAGCGACAGTTTATGGAAAACTTTCAGCAGCCATAACATGAAGCTGGCTCGAGAGCGCTACTCCAAGCATGGAGAAATCTCATCTGGAGCCAGCTCAGGGGCGGTAGCATGGAGCCAGTTCAGCAGTAACATGACAGAAATGCTCAGCGGCAGCAAAACAAAACAAACTCAGCAACGTTGCACATACAGAGATGGAGAGCTCATTAGTCCGGCCCAGACGCAGTGGACCCGGCACCAACACACGCTGCAAGCCCGATAGTGACCCTTTGAAGTAAGCCGAGCAGTGACAAGCCCCAGCGAGCTCGACGGCGCGTCCGCAGTAAGCCGGCGGGCTGATGTTTTTGCCGGACGGGCTCAGACCGCGGGCAGGAAACGGTGCGTCATTTGGGACCCGCCGAGGAAATGGGTCGGCCGTATCGCCAGCGCGCCGCTTGCGCCGCGTCCCCACCGGCGCCGGCCGCTGTCGAAACGACACGGCACGCTCCCCGACGCAGCGGCTGCCACCAAACGACCGCCAACGGTCCAGCCACCGCAGCTGGGGCAGTGGTGCTGGCTTTGCGAGATCATCGAACAGTGTTTTGTTGAGACCCGAATATCATACGGGCTATTGCACCTCACGGTATGCATCCGTATCACCCCAATTCTAGACAGATGCAGTCGATGCAAATACATTTGCTTCTATACACATCAACATATGGCATGGTAACGCTTCTTGATCAAGCTGGGATGCTGGCGCGTCCATCAGATCATGGTTTTTAATGCTATAGCCTGTGATCAGCCAAAATAACTCGATTATTGCAAAAATGCCGAGGAAATGACCACTGGCATAGCTATTACGATTTGACGCCATGCCACGAAAATACAGCTGGGCTCTTGCCCCAAGACATTTGTGCTACCTTTCACTAAAAATCGACGTGTTTTGGGTGCGCTTCGGTCTCAGTGCATTTATTTGTTCTCGGCACGCAATGACTGCGGACACTGTCAAGAACGTCGCGAAGATGTATCTCTCGATCATTAGCTATGCCACTTTTCTCATTTGTCAAGTATCAAACTTTGAGTGGCGGAAACCTATTTATCGTGAAAATAAAAATAAATGATCTTGCTTAAATCGCAGCTAAATCGCCAAATCGCAGCCAAATTTGTTTAATTCCTTCCAGCGACTAGTAATACTGAATTAATCAAAATGATAAAGCCCAGTTAACAGCCCTGCAACGGTAGCCAGGTGTGAGCACCCCTCATACAATAAGAAGGCTTGAAATATTTTGTGATTTCAGTCTGGGTGAATCCACTCCACATTCCAAATCAGTTCAAATTATCGGCATGTTTCCCAACACCGGATCATGAAAAGAGGATGAGCCCCCCCCCGCAACAAAAAACACGCTTTCCAATTATATTTTTCTCAGAACGAGCAGAACATTCTTACCCACAACCGCAACTTTTCAACTCTAGCAAATCCTGAGCAACTTAGATTTTGCCAGGCCACTTTCTCGCTCTATCTTTGGCCACGCAGCCGTGGACCAAAACATTGTCATATTGAAGTACCACTTCTTCATGCTCACCTCCAAAAGTACAAGCTAAGACCCAAAATTGGGGAATTATCGTGACAAGAAGCAAGAACTCAAGGCAAAAACGCACTCAATGAATCAGGCGAGTATGCTGCACCTTGTTATGCATTTAAACTAACAACCGCCTTTTGATGGGCTCACCTCCATTAAGCTCAAGCGAGTCGTTACGCCAAGACGACGCCTACGCATTGTAACGAGTAAAATCGAGCAGAGCACATAGCCAGAGGGAACAGCAATATATCCGATCAGTTTCGATAACAAAAGGCACTGACACGCCTCGCTCCTGCGCGGATACAACCACTCTGTATGGGCGCGGTGTGCAGGCAACGCCACCCTCATATTTAATGTACAGTATAGCCTGGCAATCGGTCACGCTTAAATAATGAACGGAAATGATCGCAGACACTCTACTTTTAATGTCGCATTAACAATGAAGGTCAGCTTGTGACTATAGTGTGATCAAATATATTTGATATTTAATTCTACATGCTAGTTCACATCGTATGTTACAATGAAGCCCATGCAATCAGAAACTCTGTACCTAGGAAATGTACGGGCGTATAACGTATTCAGATAACACCGCCGCATTACACGCATCCCTGCAAAGCAGCGAACGCACCTCTCTCGCGAGCACGGCGACCGCACGGAGCGCTCTCTCCACCTTCCGTTTCGCGAACGACGAGGCACGGCTCCAGCACTGCTGCTGCGGCCGTGGCGGGTAGGCCGGCGCGGCGGTGCGGACCAGTGACCTCCTCTGACACCACTGACGCCTCACCGAGCGGTCCCTCGGTCCACCGATGGGACCAGCAGTGAGCCGCACAGGGCAGACGGGGGAGCACGGCACCCGGGCTCGCCCCCTCGAGCGGCAGCGGCACGTGCCTCTGAGGTGAACATTGAAGCCGGCATGGCGGCGGCGGCCGGTCGGCCCCCTGCCCACAGCCGGCTGGTTCCGTTTGTGGCAGTCTGACGACCCGATGGATGTGACGCTGGAGCGCTGAAACAGCGAGACGTGCCGCACTGCCGGACCCCCGCAGGGCCGGGCACGCCGTGCTCACCGGGTGAGCAGTGAGGTCCTCAGGTGAGCAGTGAGCTCTCAGGTGAGCAGTGAGCTCCTCAGATGAGGCAACTCCCAGGGAGAGCGGCGAGCTCCCCAGATGAGGTGGGCCCTCCAGGTTACGGCAGACCCCCAAAGAGAGGTGAGGTCTGCAGATGAGGACAGATCCCGACGACGTGAGCTGCCCAGGTGAGGTGAGCCAGCCGGGTCAGGTGAGCGGCCTCCGGCGGCGTCACACGAGCCCGTCGCCCCTGTGGCTCGGCCGGCGGCGAGTCAGTCGCGGAGACCCGCGCTCCATCGCCACGCTGCTGGTCGCCGAGGACGGCAGGTCTTCCGACTCGGCCTCCACCTCCGGCAAGAAGTGGTTGGCACGCTGGATCGCATGGCGCAGCTGAAACGTCGTGGGCACCACGTGTCAAACGGTGTCGGACCACGCACGGAAGGGCACCGCTTGGCCCAAATCCGCCTGAATAGACCCGATTCAAACAGAACAAGTATACGCAAACCGAAGCATGGTGCGAATCGAGGGTGGTTCGTTAAATCATTTTCGAGGATGGTTCATTTGAATATAAATTTATCGTCATCATAGTTGTGGATTTCCTTTGTTCCCCAACCTCTGAGATTTGTTGAAGAAACGCAGTATGAGTGGTTAAATCTGGAATATGCGGAGAAGACCAGTTCTGACAACGGCGTTTTTAAATGGGAAACGTAGCAAGCGTGCCTTCTTGTGTTAGACAAACTTTATTTTCAAATTAAAGCAGCGCAGGAGTAAAATGAGACCACGGCAACGGACTCTGAAAACCACAACATAACAATTTCCTCCCAATACGAGGATCCCTACGTGGGATATGCATGTAAGCACATGCCTAATACTAGTCCACTTTGGGCATTAATGTAACACTATCAGCTTAGGTGGCGTACCGAAACAACATATCTCACGGTAGACGGCACAGTGAAACTGTTCCGGTCCAATGCCGTGAAAGTCACGAGTTCGGAACTCTTATGCTGACAGCTATCGACCTTCATTAAACCAGGAAGCACTGCACCAAGCAAACTTTGGTGATATTGCCAACAATTAGCGTTTCAAGTTGAGCTTATGATCACGAGTCATGAGACAATCGTGATCATAAGCAAAGCCTGAAACATCGAGTACTGACGATATAGCCCATGTTTGCCCGCTAACGTTGGTGAACTAGTATTTCGTCGTATACTGAAAGCCGAAAACTGCCAGCCACATGATGCCGAAAAAAAATCAGGACCTGTCTTTCTTATACAAAGACCAAGGAAGATTATGATGCCCGGTGTATTCCAAACGGACGGTCGAGAATTGCAGGAACTGTTCACACCAGGGAGATGCTAGGTTGATTAAGCAATTTCTCTGTTTAGAAAATATGCTCATCGAAGCGTCATTGTTTGAGTACGTCATCGCACCTTGCATAACAATAATTGCATGACAATTGACGACCGTTATATCTGACAATCGTGCTCGCGAACGACACATATGAACGAATCAACCATTATGTCTGTATTGGTCTTGATCGCCGCATAGCTTACTGGAAGTGACATAATTTGTACTGGCGTTATTATGACGTCATTAATGCCAAGGGGGTCATAAAACACTCTCCCCGAAATACTCTCCCCATCTCCGCGGGCGTGTAGCTCCGAAACTAGACAGGTTTCGGTCTTGAGAAGGGCAGGACTGTGAGCTGCACCAAAAGTTCTCCAGGATGGCTATTTCAGTTTAGAACCCGATGCAAATGTGGAACACTCCCTTCAAGCGTGTTGTAAAATATGAAACGCCTGCAACCGCGCGGGTAGCAATCAGTTTGAAGAAAAATCCATGCAAACTCAAATGAATTACACGCCAACAAAGTCATCTCCGTATTCCTATAACTTATTAACTCTCGCACTGACAGGGAACAGCAAGCCTCTTGCCTGACATTTTTTTTAGAATACGTGCAGAATGTTTGTAGTTGTTCTCCTGAGGCTTCCATCATCCCAGCTATCAATGCTATTTACGGTTTTGAAAATTTTGCAGTTCACGTCATGTCAAGTTAGTGGCTGACATATATTATATATATATATATATATATATATATATATATATATATATATATATATATATTAGGCCATATTGGAGCAAACGTGGTGGGAAATGGCGTTCGAAAGTAAGGCCATACAATGCGATCAGGTTTTTTCTGGCTGATATACACAACGCTGTGACAAGTCGACCTCCACATAATAGCATGTCGTCGCGCTTTGGCGACGCAAGCTGACCTTTACTCATTTCGGGGAATAATATGTTTTCTTAGTGTGTAGAGTGTCAATTTCATCTGGTTGCGTAACATGCAGCCCAATGGCATAGCTCGTCCGTTTCCCTCCGTCTTCGGGCTTCAGTGTTGCGTCCTCATCTGCACTTGGCAGTTTGTCATGAGAGGTCAATACAAGCCACTGACCAAGGCTGCCTTGGCCACAGCAGCGAACGAACGCCGGGGGCGTGACAGGGTTACCGTAGAACAGATACAGGTGTTAGCTGAACAATATGTATCTCCCGGCCTAATTTCGCAGACAGGGATTCGCCGTTGAAGGTCCACACCACACAGCTCGATTTGAATTTCACCACACTTCGTAACTACCCGCTCAACAGAAGCTGGCGTCGCCGCCCGCGGAAGGACAGGAGGGTTGGGAACAAGGACAGCGGCGGGAACATTCCGTTCTTCCGTGACCTCAAACATGTGCGTTCGCACCTAAAAAAATTCACTTGTGGTCGGAATGAGCTTCATCGAAAAATCGGCGTAAAACGCTTGCCCAACTCGCCTTACATTTCAAATTTTATTGACCAATTTGATCCCGTTTAAGCGCAAATCTCAACAACTGCATCATGCATATCTGTTATTGCTCATTCCACATAGGTTGCAAGACTCAGCAGGTAGTTTTGCAAACTAAATTGTGGGGACATTAAAAAAGGCTAAAACCGCCTCCTAAATGCACCAAAAACCGTTTCGGCCCAAGTTCTGGTAAAAGTTAGCGGGGGAGCTGAAGCCCCTCAACGGAATGGGAAACTGCACCCTCTGCGTACAAACCGTTGAACGATTGCCGGAGTAGCCATGCTGGTCTCTGAAACTGTACATGGTTGGTCGCCATTGATGGCCGACATGCATATTGGGCCTTTAACGTCCTTTGACTGTAAACTGCCTAGTCTGTGGGTATGGCTTCCCAGCCTTCAAGGTGTCACCACTCAGAATTGATTCCCTGAAAGTGCTGTGCCTACAGCATTGTTAAGACAAATATACCATGAGAGCAGATTCCCCTCCTCTAGTGCGTGCATTTTACGAGGCCATTTAGGTCGCTTGCTAATGTAGGGCAATACTAGAATGATGAGTGTGCGACGCGAGCAGCAACTCAATGCGACGTAACGCATCGACGTGAACACGATACTGCACCGCAAAGCTTGCGCTGCGGCGCAGCATTGAAGCCCGCTAGGGATTTAGTGGTCCGCGCCGACGGCATACGTTTGCAGAACCGTCGCGTAATGATCGACGGCTGGGACAAGGCTCCGCACGAATCGATAGAAAAGCATTAAGTTTTATATGTTCACTTAGAACGTAGCTTTCGTTTAATCTCGATAGCTTTTAGCTGTGTAATCTGCACATGTGGCGTGCGCTTACAGCCTGCTTTCCGCCCTGCCGTCCAACGATAGCTCTCCTTGCCGACATGTATGTTTGTTAATCCCTTTTGCTCTCTTGCGTGTTGCCATTTCGCAATGTAAGTTACTGCGCATGAATGTGTTATGGCTGCCAGGACTTCGTCTGCATGAGAACTGGGCAAATCGCGTACAACATAGCAAACGTTCGAATACGCCTGTCCATACATTCGAATAACAAACTGTACCGAATGCCAAGCTTTGGTGGACACTCACTCAGCGCCATCATGTTGAGCAAAGCTGCAGAACCACTTGAGCCTCATAACATCCTCAGCAGTCTAAACCGCATAAGCTTTCAGTATATCATTACATTTCTGTATGCCGCTCATATCATAGCAAACGACCGACGACATTTAGATAGATAATTTCGAATCAATCTAGGTCCCACGCAGCATTTGCTGGTGATTCATCCTAATATGAACCTTCCTCGTCCTTGTTGACTGTCCCTCTGAGTGGCATCGTTATCTGGCTTGCCGGCACGCTTTAAGATCATGCTGTGCCGGCGACCTAGCTCGGCTTTTCTTTCTGACTGCTGGTAAAGGCGACCTAAAAATTTGAATCGGTCAGTTCGATTCGTTCTTGGCCCTAGCAGCATCTCCCTCGCTTGGGTCATGCGAGGGAGAAACAAGCCGCACCAAACAGGGTCATGATAGGCCACCGTGATACTTTTCCTTGCATTTTTGATGCTCCTCTCACGGGTGCTAGTTGTATCAGTTATCCCTATCATTCGCTGCTCAGACAGCATTGCAATGCTGCCTATAAGCTGCCTTAGCCACGTCTACACAGCATGTTAGAACCGCTGCCGGACTGTCACAACTATCAGGCAAATAGAACACACGCGCTATCCCGCGTTAGCGTATATTGTATGGAATGATAGTTCATATAACGAATAGTTTTTAACTTGCCCATTCTACGTACAAACGCATTTAATGAGAAAAACACTCCTAACAACATTTAAACGCACTTCTGCCACCACAAACGTAGGAACGCCGGCCACAGCTGCAGGCGTGCATGGTTGTCATGGCACCCTCACTTTCCGAGATTGCTGAACCACCTGGCAACTTACGAACAGAATCGCGTCCACAAGAAGGTTTGGCACATCTACCCTGTTAGTCGCTCCTCAACATACAACTAACACGTCTAGCAGTCCAACGTGCCGCCATCATGCATGTGCTTGCTCGCACAGCATGATTTCTGCAGGACAAAATATTTAAACTGACGAAGCGCAAAGTTGGAAGATGTGTGTTGGCGTGCACTCCCCAGTCCGCGGCCGAGGTAAACAATTAAGCGTTGCACTTAATTTTAACGCTCAGCGACTTAAAACGTCACAGTTATCTTCATTATGCAATTTTTAAAGCTCAAATATCAGTGACTCAAAACAAGCCGACCAGCCCGCGTCGAGAAAAAAGGATTGTGGAAGAGTGTTCAACATGGCAGCAGCGAGACCCTCCCGAAGGTCACGACGTCACCAAATGGAATGTGGTACCCTGACATATGTCACTACCAAGCGGCCATGTCCTTCATAGTCACAAATGTGCAAGCTGTTCGAAAATAATTCAGATGTGTTTAGCCATGATCGACGCAATAGGTAATCATTGCCATGACTGCATTTAAAAAGAGCTATGCATTCAGGATTTCGCAGCGATTTGATGTGTTCTGTAACGCGGGGAATGCACGCTATTGCAACTGAATTTGTGAATGAGAAATTTAAGAACTATCAGTGTCACTCAATCACCCGGAAGTGACATGTTAACGACAACAGTTGAAAAACGATGTGTGCCGTAGCATGGCCTTCGCCTTGACCTAAAATGTAGAAATGTCGGAAAAAATGGAAAACATCCTTTAAAATAATTTGCCCACTTACCAGCATTTAACTTTCTCCCTATCCATATTGAGTGCAGAGGTGGTAACGGTACAAGTAGTACTTATGTTAGCTCTAAGTTGGCATGGAATATGGTCAGTGCGAGAGTTAAGACAGCAAGCAGCACTGATGAGAAAAAATAAATATACGACATCATGGCCATGTACTCTGGATAAGGCACCAGACTGGACATGATTTTCGGTTACAACATGATCTTCGGTCACGCTCAACCAAAGAAGCCGCATGACCATGAATGCCACGTTAGGCTAAAATCTTGGCCATTTGATCATATTTACAAAGCTTAATAATCTGTGAGGTTTCCTAACCAAAAGTGCCATTCAAACCTTCGGGAGACAATTACATAATACTATTAACAAATAAGGTGGCGCAGTTAGCTGGATTCTAACGTACGATCTACCGCATAGGGGCTGCCCGAGTGTGCATTATCTACCACAGCACGACAACTTGGCAGGGTGACACTGGTGTGTCATGACAATGACAAAAACCTGTAACTGAAGTGGAACAGTCGGAGGCAAATGCGTGTCCGAAATGCAGACGTTTGTCATTGCCGGGACTCTATGGCATTCCACTAAAAAAGTCAATATTTTCGCAAGACAGTACCGAAACGACACTAGCAAAGCATGCAAGCTGTAATCAAATGCGGCACAAAATTGTTACCGGGACGGGAATGCAAGATAAACAATGCATAATTGTGCAAACAATGTGCATTATTTTCACTAAGCTCCCCTTCTGCATTCTAGCCGTGGGAGATACCATGCCCTATGCGTCTTAAACGCTGTTAGATCTAGCAAAATCATTGAGATACTACCTCGCAATGCCCATTGCGCCGGCCGTCAAACACATCTTGTACTCGTGGGACGATGATTGTGGTACCCATGCATCAAATCATACAAAAGAAATGAGTCGCCGTCTCGATAACATTACCAATGTCGTCATACTGATGTCATCATTAACCTCCAAAACGGTGCTATGATTGCGTGGCAGCATGACGGCACTCATTTTAAATTCACCACTTCCCTAGCTAAGCAACGGTCGCGCGCCACGCTTGTCGAAATGCCAACGAAGTCGAAAGATCAGCTGTGTCTTCCTCTTCTTCTTCCTCCAACACCACAGCTCATAGCGACTGGGACCTAGATCCTGCGGTGTCGCGGGGAAGTGTAGCACGTTTGGACTACATGTGCGGATGGCCGACCAACGAGTAATGTTCAAGGGTCCGCTGACAACGAACGACAGATCTCAAGCGTGATCATACAGCAAGCATTACATGTCAGCTGGCGGAACCCGGCATCCGCTGAACACAAGGACATCAATAACGGTAAGCAACGATATTTCTGTATCCATCTCCAGCGCTAGTTTGAAAGGACACTGCTCTGCGCCGAGCGACGGCCTTGTTCAATTCTGAAGTCCTTGAAGTATTAATGTAAAATTGTACAAACCCATCACGCTAGACGCCACACCATCTGGAATTTTGATCGAAGCGGGATTGAGTAAAATAAATGTCTGGTGTCCTTTCCCACTCATACAGAGCTTGGCAAAGTATCGTGGATGCGGTTCGCGATGACCCCGGGCCGGTATCCGTAACTGGGCCACACACCCCAGCGATGTTGCAATGCCACATCCTCGACAGCCCCGTCCAGGCGACCCTCTCAACGCCCACAACTGGACGCCCGCCTCAAATCAACTGATGCCTTAGATTCGCGCATGCTTGAAGCATGCCATGACCGGCGAAAGGCTGCGTTTGACTGTGCGCAAAGTCACCAAATCCAAATAACAAACAGCTTACATGATGTCGACAATTTCCAGTTGCCTTTTGTCGGCAAAGTATAGGCAAAGTCTGTTGTGCGGTACATTCGCTGCGACTTCACGCTTAGCCAAGCACACCTTTCGCTCACCCCCCCCCCCCCCTCGACCTTGGCACCTTCTACGGCAAAACAAAGGGCTGAAGGGTAGTTCCGGTGTATGTCGAGCAGGTCAATAAATATGGCGAAGACCGTGCATCAAAGCCAGGCTTTTCACAGCCGCCGCAATCGAAAACCGATGTAAACCAATCGGAACATGTGCGCTTAAAAAGATAGTTGGACGAAACATGACTTGGCGCATTCAAATAGGAATGAGTTGCATAATACATGGACTTACGTGCGATTTGCTCACTGCTTTACATAAAGAACACGGGACTCTCCTGGTCATGGTCCCTATCTTTAGTAGTACTTTCTAAAGCCTGCCTCAGCTGCGTGGGGGAAGGCCACAGCGGGTCAAAACTCCGGTTCGGAAGGCAACCAGTAGGCGACAAAACTACACAACGGGGGAGCCAAGCCGAAGTGATGGCAGCAGAATGAAGCAGGCGACAGTGGCAAGAACCTGGAAGAAGTACACACACAACGGGCAAAAGCGCCACACACTCATGGCGAATGACGACAGATATGCAGAGACCGAGCGTAGTTCCAAATCGGTGTCGTTACCTTTATTGTGTCGTAACAACTGTGTGATGTTTGCGCGAATTTCAGAGGGATTAACAATGACCTCGCTCCCATCTACGTGTATAAAACGAGTAAACAAAAGATAGCGCGTGCCAACTTTCTTTTTCTGAAAATTGCGTCGTCCAAAATTAAGGAGATGAAGAATGGTCGACGTAAGAAACGTACCATGTTGTAATCGTGAAGGAATACAAAATACGCGCCAAGTGTTCATAAAATGATTCGATTTACAACCCCCTAGGTAGCACTGACTGTCAGTTGCAACATAGCTAAGTTAGTGTGCATCGCTGTGACGACCCCAGCCAGCCATACGCCAGAAGCCGAGAGAAGCAACGGAAACATGGAATCGCTGGTGCAGATGTCGCGGCGTGTCCAGTACCGTATCGCACACTGCCGGCGTGACGTCACGCACTGACCTCCTTGAGGGCCACAACGCCGATCAGACGGCCGATGGCCGTCACGTAAGCGTGGTTCAGCCCCAGCATGGAGAAGAGCGAGTGCACCTTCAGCAGGGAGGTGCGCTCCACCAGCTGAAATGGCGCCGGGTCTGCCAGGCGCAAACAGGGCGTCAGTGGTGACCCAGGCCAGACACGGGCAGGGCATCAGTGGTGACCAGGCCAGGCACAGACAGGGCGTCACTCACAGCTGTACCTGATGCGATTCAGATTGAGGATTCATTGAGAATTACCCAACTTTGCCACGAATAAAGCTTGATTCGAACGTCTAGCTTTCTGCATGGTTCATAATCAGCCTTAAATTAGCAGTTTTTCTTCAAATTGATTGAAGCGGAATTGGCGATACTTGATTCGGCATTAAACCGCGACAACACTCAATAGTCAAAAGTATCGTTCAGTCTTTGGGCATGCTCAGTTTATGAAATTATTATAGTTTTGTGTCATGTATTGGTACTGGATGTACTAGCATGGTGGCTCTGATCATGATGTAGATACCACGTGGATGATTCAGCGCTTTGTGCAGTATATTGCGTCATTATCAAAGTTTGTCGTTGAATGTCCGTCCCGACGACTCATTCAGTAAGAGTGTCCGTCATCTGACACTCCCAACACTGGCGGTGTGGGTTCGAGTCACTCCAAGCGCTCGTTTGTCCCTGACTGTGATAGCCTGCGGCCGGTGCCGGCGGTCACGCTTAAGGTCAGGTGACGTCAGAGGACAAGACGGACTGTGCCGGCACGTCAAGCTTTCGCCGGAAAATCCTGCCGTTGATCCGGAATTGCATGTTTGGATGGTGCGCTCAGGGCTCGCTTAACAAGCACTGCTTTGTGTGGCGGCTGAAGCCATAAATCGGTCTTATCAGCTGTTTGGGGCTAATTCCTTTGAATCTGTCAAAGGCACTGTTGCCAACTTGCTTGCACAGCACAGCACACTTTGCACAGGCCGTTGGAATATCAGTTTGGGTACTAAGGTTAACTCAAAACATGATTCGTTCACGAATTGCTTTGAATTACAATCGATTTCGTTTGTACGGGGCTAAATCCAGCATAAATCTGGTGTCATTGGTGATGCAGGTCAATGGCATCACTGGTGCCACTGACATGAGTCAAAAACAGTGGTTTCTAGGAGACCACGCGGATGCCAAGATGAAAACGATGCAGCATTCTATAGAAACATTCCAAGGTCTTTAATCCTTAGCCTTGTCACATAGGTTTGGTCATAAGGTTCTTTACCTAACCGAGATATGTTAAGAATATCGTATTCATTTAAAACGAGGCCGTATTTTGTTCTAACTTCTTCCAATCACACACCATAGTTCGGTCATCGTATGAAAGAGGACGTTATATCACCTCTCTTACAAATGTGTGTACAACACAAAAAATGACACACGCATTTGCGATAACGTACCTATTTTGCAGTCATCAAAGTTAACTTCTTTGTCGAGCTCTTCTTCCTCCCAGAGCTTTTGATCCTCGTATGACATATCGATCACCCTCTCCACCGGCTGGAAGACACGTTCGGAGCATCGAGTAAGCAATTCGGCGGTGGTTGGGGCTTACATCCGATTTGATATCGGTTTGCTAACATGACACGGTGCCGACCTATCATTTACAACAATTTTATACCAGAGTTTTACGATGGATTCGGATGATTTATATTTTCATGATATATGGCAGGTTTAACAGCATAATAAACGGTCGAAAACCAGTCTGGCCAAACAAGCCATGCCCGAAATAGTAATCAAAACCAATATCGATATGGAAGAGAATATGATGGAGGTCTGTTATGCTAACATTGGTAAAGGAGATGTCACAATATATCCATATGTCAAACGATGCAAGATTAAAATAAAGTAGCAGCCATGTCATACCAAAGTAGCGTCAATGCACCGTGGCGTTTTGAAAGAAACGTCTAGTGGGTAATGGTGTTGCATAAAGCACGAGTTTCTAAAAGGTAAAACTCTTCAAGTTAAAAAAAAACGCGGGAAAGCATGGCGGAAAGTACGGTAAAGATTATTAATCTTGGTCCTCAATATGTTTATCAAACACACAGTGATTTTGCTGTCATTTTGCATTCAGTTTATTCTGCTACTCAGTAAATGCTCACCATACGAATGGATGTGTGCTTTTCGTACGTTTTTCGTACGGTACCACACATTTCGCACGAACGGTTTTCGTAATAACTTGATCTCATTTCTGACATGAGCAGATCAACGGGGTGCATTCTCTGTTGAGCCCAAATCCTCTTGACACTGTGTCATGACCGCCGTGGTTGAGATGCTTTGGCTGCAGAGGGCTTCCATGATTATTGTTTGAATGCACACGATACAATGCTGGGGCCTCGCAGGCGTCTTTCCTCATCCCTTTACCTAGATTGCTTACGTAATTGATTTGCTGGCTTCTCGATAAAGCTTTATGATATTTCCACTGGATAACGACTGCCACGATTTGAGGCAAGTCATTTCTCCAGCCAAATACATGACTGTGCAATTGTTCCGACGCGCACCCTAAAATTTTGACCCGGAGAATCACAGATGCAGAGATACTTTTGAATGGCGAGAAAACAATCTTGTGGTCCAGACCTGCACTTCTGCAGCTGAGCTCGATCCTGCCGTTGATCTGGAGCTTGTGTGCATAGATTCTGTGAGTGCATTATACTCACTCGTTGACGGATTGCATCGGCGTTTGAACCGGCAGTTGACAAGGCTTATTCCATCAAGCCGGATGCGATTTTTATATTATTTCTACTACACCCTTTGCAGCGAAGATCTTCTTAGATAAGTGCCTACGATTTTCCGCACCCCCCCCCCCTTGTTACTTTGTGTTGCAAGTCAAAGCAATTCTTCAGTTAGGCATGGGTTTTGTTTAATTTTAACAACTTAAAAACTTAGCCAATTTTGTTTGTGATTATGGCAAATGGTTTGCACCACACTTGCCGTCATACCGCTAAGCCTCACAAACAATCGTATTCTGTTCTTCTTCAACCATTTTCGTCGGTTTTTTATTGCGTACTCCCTGGAGGCACTCGCTGAAAGCAGCAAAACTGCAGGTGTTCATGTTCCGATCTCCCGGGAATGAGGCTCTACGCTCACTGAGCCCGTCTTAGGCCCGACCTGGTATACTCGGAGCCCGTGTCGAATTAGATACATGCTGTATTGAATTCCATGTGTGCGGTTTCAGGCATGCTGTGCCAGCATGCGAGGCAAATTTGCTCCGGCTTCAAGCCATATTACAACAAAAATAGTGCGAATTCATACCAGGTGCTCCTTTTTTCTCCTGCTGAGCTCCATCTCAGCGTTATATGAAGGTTATCGATGCGCTATGAGGACTCAGGACGCGCGACGACCCCATCTACACGACTCGTGAGGGACGACAGGTACGTGAGGTCGATAAACACTCACTAGTCATTCAGATGTTGTTCTAGAATTCCGCGGAAACGTTGAAATGGCTGGCTTTAAAACTGACATGCATGGATTCAAGGCTACGACCGCAACTCCAGACGCCGTGAGCCGATCACGTCCGGTCACCCGATACCGGCCGGTCACGACCTCAGTTCCAGACGCAGTGAGCCGATTACGCGCGGTCACCGGATACCGGCCGGTCGGCTCACGGCGAACCGCCGTGAGTGGCCCGCCAATGTTTAATTTCGATTGCCAACCGATATAGGAGATATCCTATCGATTCATTTTTATCCTGAATGGCAACAGGGTGATCTTCAATTGCATACCGGTATGGAGAAGCTCAAACCCACCATGCTTTTTCACAAAATGAGGTCAAGGGTGAAACTATGCCATTATATGCAGCAATTAACCTTGAGTGTCATATGGACTCATGTTTCAGAAACCTGCAGATATTTAGCTATCCGGTGCACCTGACCCTAGCATAATACTCAATAAACTGTTATCGCATAAGCAAGTTGAAAATAGTTAAGTTGTTCGGTGCAGTAGCGAGGGAAATCATTCACATATATAAGACAGTAGTATTAGCCTTATTCCTCGTAGAAAAGCCAGGAGAATGGAAATATAGTTGGCTTGATGTTTCGGCAACATGCCTTTATCGAAACAATAGCAGAAGTGAATTCAAAATTGCCTGCCGATGATCCTACTCGATTTTCAGTCATTTTTTTAAAACAGCGAGCCACAGTCTTTACAGGACACTAACATTCAGGGAAAATAAACAAAGGGCGATTGTCCAGCCATTACCGCGAACAGTCCCTATCTAAGAATAGAATGCGCGAACATACGTGTACATGCAAATGAATTCAAGCAAAAAGGCATCACGCTTCGCGCTTCATTCAAACATGCAAGCGAGTTGAAGCAAACAGGCATCACACATCGCGAATCAATTATGCAGGCAAACGATTTTAATTAAACAGGCATGGCACATCCAGCGTCAGGTATCACTTACATGTGTAAGCGATTTTAAGCTGGCACACATCACACATAAACGCACATATCATGTCCGCATAATCGGCCATGTGAGCCAGGTATGTTAAGACTTGGCCGTCGACTTTTTATAAGAATATGTTCACTTATTTTCCTGTCTGGGTGATCCCGTGCTCTGTAGGTGCCTTTGAGCTCTAAAAGGGGCATAGAGTCCATACGTCCGTCGATTTCAGCCCAAGCGGGTTTTGCCAAAAAATGGTCATCGAAAGGGGTAATCCCGGTTTTGATTTAAGCGCTCGCAGGTTTTCATTACATCTCAAACGAATAGGGCGCATGAACTCCCCAACATAGACTATGTTCCTACCATGTTTTTCACACAGCTTACACCTGATTTCGTAAATCACACTTCTTTGCGTGCAAACCCCTTGAAACCCAGAACTGCATAAATGACATCTGTTGCCACCCGGGCACTTAGGCTTCGAGACGGAATATTTCACCACAGACTTATTGTCGTTTTTCCAGGCTATGCGTAAGCGCAGTTTTGATTGTTTAAAATGCGTTTGATTTTCCAAAGCAGATGCTCATATGAGCGTTTGGACCCCTTGGACCCGCCCCTATGCACCCTATGCCGCTCTTAAAGCTCAAAGTCACATATAGAACAAAGGACCACCCAGACGGGAAAATAAGTGAACCCGTTCTTACAAAAATCCGGCGACGAAACCTCACCTATGAAGCCCACGAAACCTCACCTATGAAACCTTATGAGGCCCATCATGGTCGATTATGATATTGGTCTTATGATGTGATATGTGCCTTGATTATGGCGTGTGCCAGCTTAAAATCGTTTACATGTAGAAGTGATGCCTGACGCGTGATGCGCAATGCCTGTTTAATTAAAATCATTGGTATATAATTGATGTGTGATGAGTGGTGCTTGTTCCTTGAACTCACTTGCATGTCTGAGTGAAACGTAATGTGTGATGCCTGTTTACCTGGATTCGTTTAAATGTACACGCATTTTTCGCTTATCATAATTTTTAGTTAGATATGCACTATGTCTTAGTTATGGCTGGCAAGTTCTCCTTGTATAATCCGCTGAATGTTGGTCTCCTATTAAAGCTGTGGCTCGCTGTTTAAAAAAAAAAACCTGAAAAATCGAGCAAGATCATCGGCAGGCAATTTTGCATTCACTTCTGCCATTGTCTCGATGAAGGCATGTTACAAAAATATCAACCCAAATGTATCTCTATTCTCCTGGTTTTCTCCGATATATAAAGCTAATACCATTGTCTTATATAAGTTGAAAATGGGGTTCGTGACGTTTGTAAGTCAGTATTTCTCTTCTAGGCAGGCATGTTCAACCTTAGAATAACAAAAATACGTAACGCGCCGTGTTACGTGACGTCGCCGCATCATGTACGGACAGAACCAATGAAAGACTGCCAAAATCCTGTCAGTTCGCGTGCGGGAGCACCAAAGCAAAACGAGCAGAGAGTGATGATCTCGGTGATCAAGCACACGCAAGTTGGCTATACCCTTTTACGCGGTACAAACATTACATTCACAAGCTACGTCCTACAGCGGATCTCTTTCGTGGCGCATTAAATATGTTCCCACAGTTCACACACATAACTTCGGTGGATCAAGTTCATGTTGCAATACAGGGTAGGAAAAAATACGAAATGCAGAGGGAAGTTAGGGTTCCTCTGTACGCGAGACTTGAACGCATATGACAATATTTCCTCCGATGGCAGGCTTTTCTATTTTTTTGTTTGGCGCCAGCTTGCAAAAAGCTCGGGCATTCCGCAGCGCTGGAAAGACGCAGGCCACATGCAATGTGGGGCTAATGAGGAAGAGCACCTCGTATCGCCGCAAAAGCCGAATGGCTCTCTCCAGCTGCGAACAAAACACGTTTGGGCATCAGCTCGCTTTCATCTTACGCCTGGCGTGTGAGATGTGTTCCCCGGCGCTTAAAGTGTTGCACTGCAGCATGGTATCCATCATGTTACGCACAATAACAAAAACAAAATCAGCACAGTAGCTCACACAGTTTTGGGCTCAGGTCGAAAGGACAATAGGTAAAACTGGGCCAGAATATTCCATGAAGAGACAAGACCAGAAGGCAAAGGAAACACAATATTTGGACCACAAAACCAACCACTTCAATGCGAATAATCACACCAAAGCCACGATAATTGGGATACTCGGACATGTTCGACACTGCAAGGCTGCATGAACACGTTTGAGATCACACGGACTGGAACATCAAAGGTCACACGAGTCACTCCTGACGGCAAAGGTACGTGATTCCCTGTGTGAACACCTTGTACCGACCCAGTCACCAGCTGGCTGCTGGTCTGCACCGTTCCCTTCCGTGAGTCCCAGTGACGCCCCTGAATACGGGCCCGGGTCTCCCCAGCCGGACACAGCCAGCGTGCAGCCTGGGCCGGACGGCGGGGGCGGCGGAGGCGGCGGCGGCGGCGCTGGCCGGGCTCGGCTCATGCGTCACAGAGCGGGCGGCGGGCGCCCAGCAGCACAGCGGCGCAGCCACGGCCGGCAGCGGTCGGCGTGCGCCGGCGCCGTCCGCACCAACCAGGCAGTTTGGCACGTGGCACAACTCGCCAGCCAGTAATGACGCGCGCTACAACATTCAGCGCTCCTAAGTCCTCGAAACCCGACACATCTGTTGAAGTCGGCGGTGAAAAATGGACCCATGAATAACTTGCAGACCGCAGTGTTAGGGTGGTGCCACTTGTGAGTGCAGAGGCTCGAGTACCGCGAAAATAAAAGCTTGATGGAAGCGGCGGTACCTGCACCACACCACATCACCGTTTCGCATCAGCCTTTTTTTAAGTGAAATGCACTGACATAAGCTTGAGCCGGCGACAATAATGCGCGACTAAAAATGCCCGCAGCGCATAAAGTTCCTGACAGGCCTAGATTCAAACTGTCACACATGGTAGCTTAACAGAAAGGTCTCATGCAGCCATTACCGGACTGTGGTCCTAACACATGTGACTCTGAAAGATGCCAGCCCAGCGAGCAGACAGCAGCCGGCGGCGGGGCGCCACTCACCAGTGTAACCCGCTTCTCCGGCGGTGGCGGCGGCTGCGGCGGCGGCGGCAGCACGCCGTCCATCTCAGCCAGCCCCGCCTCCTCCACCCGCGTCTCCCTCGCCCTCTGCAGCACGTCCTCAGCTGTCGCCCTCAGCCTGCCGGACACGACACGAGCCGCTGAGGCCGCCGGCCGGGGGTCAGCACAGGCACGTGCAGCCCGCCGCCCGGCCGCGGGCGGCGGAGGGGGCAGGGTTGGTATTGGCTGCGGCCCGACCGATCCGCTCCATCATTTCAGCGGCGCCGGACGTGGTGGGCGCTCGGAGCGTGACGGAACCGACGGGCAGACAGACGTGTAGCGACCGCACACAGCGGGGGACAGGAGGGGGTCGGAGAGCCTGTGTCTCGCCATAACGACGGGAGGGGGCAGCCAGGGACGTAGCTAGGAATGGCCATGTGGGTCATGCCACGCCCCCCTCCTCAACCGCGTGTGAGGAAATTTGATCTATTTTCGCTGCAGCTCTGAAAGTTGACATTTGGTCTCCATCAAAACAGTTCGAGCTACGTGACTGGGGCAGACAAGAAGCTGCCCAAACCAGTGTTGGTCGCGGCCTACTCAGACGCCAGCACGTCCCAGCTCAAACCCACGGACACGGCCTGAGCCCAGTCTATTTGTACTGCTTGGAGGCGTATGCACAGTCCGGTTCATTGAGAGAAACTTTAAATCGAAGCAAAATTAAAGCAAAAACTAGCCACACCCGGTCGGAGTTTATCTAGATATTACTTTTGATTGATGTGTTTACGCTACAAGCTACAAACAATTAATAAGACCGTTTGGATGTTATTTTGATATAGTATGACATCTATATCCATATATGACACAAGTTTTACTCCTATCGTGTCATCAATATCCCAGGTTTTGGCCTCAACGCGGGCCTGATGCTACCGAACGCCCTATGTAATGCATTATTAACAGTAGGCGTTTAGTCCATGACGTCATGGCCGAGGCAAAACACAGATAGGTCAATTTCAAGGAGTTCGTGATTTGTTTGGGGTTATAGACACGCATCCCAGAATCACAATTTTCTGTTATTACTAGAAAACGGCAAATCGTAAATTTTACCGGCGCACGTGATCTATGTAAGGATCGTGAAAGCCACCAGACGGTCCAAGACCGCGTAGGTTCGGAGGACAGTTCCAGACCAGGAGGCGAGCCTCACCTGGTGTCGCTGCTGCCAGTGACGGTGGCGTAGGACGACCCGAACCAGCTGTGCGAGCCGGCCTTCGCCGAGCGCAGGCTAAACGAGTCAGTCTTCTTCAGGATTGGCCGCAGAGGCCGGCGATCCGGCGGCGAGGTGGGCGAGGAGGCCGACGAGAGGCCGCCACCGCCTGCGGCGCAGTGCTGGGGTCAGACGAGGTGGGCGAGGAGGCTGACGAGAGGCCGGCCACCGCCTGCGGCACGGTGCTGGGGTCAGACGAGGTGGGCGAGGAGGCTGACGAGAGGCCGGAACTGCCTCCTCCGGCACGTGTTAAGGGTCAGGCAACGCGAAGGCTCGGCTTGGAGCACCGCGCCCCAACACGGATGGCGCATCGACACCAAAGGCACGAACACAGGGACCGGACAAACGAGAGATGGGTGGGCCGAAGTCCACCTGTTTATCGTAAAGTTCGGCAATAATCAGATGACGGTACATGTGATCATCAACAACAAAATTAATTCGAGAGGCGATGAGGCCATCCACGCTTTGGGACGTTCCTCTGCCTCTGGCCGGAGCCATGCACAGACGACGGCAGGCGAACCGCGGACAGCACGATGGTACGCATGGTACGCATGGCGCAACGTGCCTGCGTCAGCGGGCTGAACAGGCAGCCGGATAGGAGCGGCGTCATGCCGGCGGAGGTGTCCGTACAGGCCCTGTCGGTACGAGCCCTGTCGATGCGGGCCCTGTTGCTACGGGGGCCCTGTCGACGCGGGCCCTGTCGGTACGGACCCTGTCGGTACGGGCCCTGTCGGTATGGGCCCTGTCGGTACGGGCCCTGTGGACGCGGGCCCTGATGGTACGGGCCCTGTTCGTACGGGCCCTGTCCGTACGGGCCTTGTTCGTACGGGTCCTGTTCGTACGGGCCCTGTCCGTACGGGCCCTGTCCGTACGGGACCTGTCAGCACGGGCCGTCCTGCCACCTGACGCCCTCAGGTCTCCCGCCATCATCCTTAAAGGGCGTGATGAGAGCCACGTCCGATCACGCGACCTTTGACCGTCCGGACTGAGCTGTGTCACTGACCCACTCGCCAGACGAAGTGGATTGGTGGCAGCCCAGCACCGCCTGTAGTGTGCGGTTATTTATCTCTTGGGGAATGCGGAGATTGAAACCACACCAGCGCAGGCACGCGGGGGCGGCTCTCTGCCCTGCGCCGCCCCATCCGCTCCACTGGCTCACGGCATTCGGGTACCGCGATCGCGCTAGTCGGAGTGTTTTTGCCGCGCATCGGCACGTGGCTTCACGCGTCCGTGGCGTGTCACGTGGCTTCACGTGTCCGAGGTCATTCATTATTTCCCTTGACAGGAATGAGAGTGTTTCCCGCATCACGTTGTTCACCACCTACTTCAACCACGTGTTATCGATCGATTACTTCGCAGACATGCGCTGCTGCGCTGTGTAATACATGCGGTTCTGAGGCAGGGCTTGAAGATTATTGGTCACCGGCGCCAGTATATGAGGTTCACGCCAGCGAGCACCAGATAAAAAGCATAAGTTACCACCTAAAGACACATTTCGCGAATTTTTCAAAAACGCAAACACGAGGAGCGCACGAGGAGCGCACGAGGAGCACGAGGAGCATGCGCGCACAAACAGACTTTTAGTTACAGTTTTTTACAGAACAGGGCTAAGGTCTTCGACCAATGTTTTTCCTGCTAGGTGGCGCAGACGGTGCAAAATCCGCCAGCCAATCTCGATCAATCCGTGGAGAACTGCGCCCCTGTGACTAACCGCCCGCCGTGCGCCGCCGTCGGCAGACACTGAGTGTCGCCGAGAGCGCCAGCGCCGCCCCGATGTCACAGTCAAGGTGTAATATAATTTTGATCGATTTCCGGGCCCATCCCGGCTGGATGATAATGTTTATTTCTGAGCGCTGCAGCGGGTCGTTCTGGGCCGGGTTACGGCGCGGCGCCGGCCGAGAATGGCCGGAAGGAACTCGCCAGCACCAAATGAGCTCCGTTCTGGGTCAGCACGTGCCACGGCGGATGGGCCGCCGGCCTCGGGCAGACACGAACAGGCATGACACCCGCCCATGTTGGACGGCGAGGCCCCGGCCATGTCTGGACGCACGCTTCGAAAATGTTCCCAGTGGAGAGTAACGATGTTGCGTGGTAAGTGGTCCGGGTTATTCGCGTGGTAGGACCTCGTTGACATGTCTAAGGCGCCTGAGGCCCAGTGTGCTGCACTCCGGAGCGTGCGAGTTGCGATGTCAAAACTGACACCGTGCTGGACGGAGGTCTATTTCGACCAAATCTACAACAGCCTATCCAGACCTTCGACCACAGTTTTATCTTCATCTGTTCTGGCCATCATCCATGCTCTCCACTAACGAGAGAAGACGATATGCTAAGAATAATGTTCCTACAGCGCCACGATAGCCGGATAGGCGAAAAGCCCAGGCTAGGATAAATAAACATTATCTCAATGGACGTGGCACGGTATCAAATTGATTCGAAATGTATTCCTGCAATCCCCTACCCCCCCCCCCCCACCCCCACACACACACACTTAACATAATGTATGTTCTCTTGCCACCCGCTCCAGGCGGCTGCTACGCCGGACGAGCCATCGTGGCGCCCCACCTGCTCCTCGTCGTCGCCGGCCTCGGAGAGGCTTGTTGGAGTGATACGCAGCTCCGGCAATGTCGGCCTCACGGGCGTCACGGCGAACCGGGAGGAACCGCGCCGGAGCCGGAGCCGACGCTGGGGCCAGGGCTGGGGCCGGGGCCGGAGCCGAGGCCGAGGCCGAGGCCGGGGCCGGGGCCGGGGCCGGGGCCAGGGCCGGGGCCGGAGCCGGAGCCGGAGCCGGAGCCGGTTCGTCGTCGGCGGCGGCCAGGCGCGCGCCGGACACCTGCACCACGGGCTCGTCGGGCGGCGCGTCGCCGCCTCCTGCTGGCGGCGCTGCTCCTCCCGGTGTTCAGCCGTGGCCAGCGCCACCAGGTCCTTCCAGCTGCGGTTGGGCCGCGACAGGCGCACCCTGCCGGCCCGGACGACGCTCAGCCCAGCGGCGGCGACGCTCAGGGGAGGGGGAGTGCTGATCAGGGCAGGGCAGCCGTTACAGAGGCCTGGCGAATGACGCTCAGGGGAGGGCAGCAGTTCAGAGGCTAGCAAGTGGCGCTCAGCAGCTGAGGACCGATGCTCAGGAAACGGGAAGCAGTGCTCGTGGGGTGATGATGCGTGGGTGGTGCTCCGCAGGTTGGTGCCCACTGATGAGAGACCGGCGATCTCGACCGTAATGTGACACCTTGCTGCCGGCCTATTTACCACCACACCGTTATTTTCCATTGCTGTCTGTCTTCAAGCTGTGATCACACGTTGCCGAATACTGATTTCAACATCGGCATTTGACATTGACGTGGTGTTGGCATTTTGGCCACATTTGGCCGTTTTGCCATTGAAAGCGCGGCATTCTACTGTACGCAAATGCATTATCGTAATAAACGAGGTAATAAACGATGCATTAGTATTGTCTGCGCAATCACCTGGGCAATGCAGAAAATAACAGTTTTAGCTCTCATGGTACAATATTTTACAATACGAGCGGCCATTAAATCACACTAAGGCACCATTTTATTCCCTACGGCTGAAAACACTCTTTTGAACAGGATGTAGAAATAAATAACAAGACGGTAGTTTCACGGCAGAAATCGCCCGCAGAACATACTATATGCCGCCATAAATACGGCACCGCAATCTACCTCAAAAGCATACGCCCCCCCCCCCCCGCCCCCGGTCCCTCCCCGACCCCATCATAAAGAAAAGCCAAAGGAAGGATTCCCAAGACGCTGGCAAACGGTGCGGAACGCATCGTAGGGGTCGGCCGCACAGAGTTGTGGGCACGAGCCGCCGGACGGGCGCCTGAATCTGCCGGGGTGAGGCCGGCCGCGCTGGCTCCTAACACCGCCGGCGCCGCGGGAGATCTAACAGACCCGACATATTGGACCGGGGCCCAGCCGGGGACGGCCGAGCACATGGACCCACCGCCTCGGGACACGCTGGCATCCACTTGGAAGCTGCTGGACAGCAATTGGACGGGGCGTGTGTTGCAGCGGAAAACGAGGTCACCGACACTCAGCTGAGATTGACAGGATGATCTCCCATGACAATTTTAGGTTCATAAGATGTGCTGAAGTGACGGCCAAACAGTTCCTAAACACTTCGTCGGCTGCCACCATTAGGCCTGGAATACCACGGTAAGCGCGCACAATGCGTGGGACGCACTGCCCCCGCCAGCGATGGACGTAAATAAATCGCATACAAGGCGGGTAGCCCGTCTCACTTTTGCGCCGCTCGCTGCCATCGCGTGACCACCTCCATGCGTCGGTCGCGTCCGAGGTGCTTCTCCAGGAGCAGCACCAGGTGTTTCCGCTTGATGCTACCCAGCAGCACCATCGAGTCTGAAACGCCCGCGGGGTTCAGAGCGCGCGGCAGCTTCGGGGGTCGCATTGACTCCCGGCTCGACTCCAGTTTCAAATCGGCGGCCCGGTCACCGCAGCAACAACGGATGCGATTAGAGAAGGGCTCGGGTGGAATCGTGTCCGCTGAACTCCGGTAAACAGGTCTGTAGGACGGCGATAACGGAGCTTCTCTGCGGCAGCCCGGCGATGATCCTCGTCTTCCAGCTACTCTTCTCGTGTTGCCCCGTCAATAGACACGTATGTCGGCAAATATTGATAGATGTGGTATCCATCAGTTCTACCTAATGCCCACAGAAGCTTCCCGGACATGTAAGCCGGCAATATTTTAATCCATCATCGAAAAAACTATATAATCTATGCGGATTACCACTGAATGACGTAACCATACAATACACCGGGTATGACTTTCTTTTTCTGTAACCACGTAACCACGCCCATAACCATAATTCAAAATGTACAAAGACTTACTCAGCACAAAGGGTGTGGTAGCTATGTTCAAGTTGAAGTGGAGAACTCCAAAATGTCAAAATGGGCCCCTGAGATTAGAAAGTGGGCCCCTATAAGCCTGAATGGGCTCTATACAGGTCAAAGGGGCCTAAACAGATCAAAATTCGCCGTCCGCAGATCGGAACGGGCCTTGTATAGTCCAGAATAAGAGCACGTTGGTTGGCAATGGGCCCTCTACAAGCCAGCGTGGACTCTCCACAGTTAAAAATGGGCGCTCTACAGGCTTAAGTGAGCTCTACACAGTGAACAATAGGCCCTTTACTGGTCAGGCCACAACCCCTTTCCCTATCGATCAGAGTGGGCCCTCTCAGGCTGCAGGCCAGACTGAGCGTTCTACATGCCAAAGTTGGCCCTCGCCTGTCAATACTGAAACCTCCACAGGTCATCATGGTTCTTCTGCAGATCATGATGGGTCCTCTTCAAGCCAAATGGGCCTTCCACGGACAGAATGGCTGTTCCACTGTCAACAATTGGCCGTCCACAGATCAGAATGGCCTTCTTCAGGTCGGAATGGGCCGTCCACAGACAATGATGGGCCTTCTACAAGTCAGAATGGGTTCTCTACAGGTTCAGGAATCGCCTCTCTTTGTCAGATTTAAAAAAAAGAATCTGATCCGAACCCTTTGAATGATGGATTTCTGGGATCAGCGCTCACGGTAAGCAGTGCTTGTTGTGTGAGCCATGACCCCCACCATCCGATCGCGCAATTCCAGGCAACGGCAGAATTTAGTGGCGAAAGCTTAACGTGCCGCAATGCTCGGCACGGTCCGTTCCGCCCTTTGACGTCAACTGACCTTTAGCGCAACCGCTGCCACCGGCCGCAGGCCATACCTGTCAGGGGCAAATAACGGGCGCCCTAAAGCGACTCGAACCCAACCCGCCAGGGCGGGTGGATCGGACGGCAGGCGCTGTAACCAACTGAGACCACCGGGACGGACACCAGGGAGGATACCTCTTAACACGTCAGAATAAGACATTGACAGCTCAGAATATACTTTTTATAGGATTAGATAATTCATTTACGGTTCAAAAAGGACTCTTATCAAACCAAAATAGACCTTTCCCACGCCCCTCCAGGATGTGAGAGGGTACCGCCCCCAGCTTTCAAGTTCAGGGAAGAGGGGGCGACCTCCCCCCCCCCCCCTTTCCTGCGTCCTTGCTCAGCACTCATGTTTATCAATAACCTTTTAATTCAGTCACTTAGCCGCATGCTCGCAGCTGTCTTTTGTGACTTACCAGAAAGAAGCATGTTAGAGAGCTGAATGCCACGAAGCCCAAACGAGCACCGCAGCGTCAACACACATACATAAGCCGTTGGGCTCTAGCTGATTAAATATGCCAGCTTGTGAGTTACTGGGATGCCTGGCTTACAGGGCTTCTGTTAGCCCGACAGCAATTCAGGGGAAACAGTGTCACAGGCTGAAGTGAGGAAAAAGAGTGTGAGCGTGGAAAGCGTGGGGCGTGAACTGCAGTACCCGAGGCAAGACCTGCCTTCGGTCCGGACTGGGACGCGAGCCGGCGGTCGCCACCCGGACACCGCTGCTGGCTCGACACAGACACAGTCACCGGTCCCGGCCGGGCACACAGTCGGCTCGACACAGACAGTCACCGGTCCCGGCCGGACACAGTCGGCTCGACACAGACAGTCACCGGTCCCCGCCGGGCACACAGTCGGCTCGACGCAGAGTCACCGGTCCCGGCCGGACACCACAGTCGGCTCGACACAGACAGTCACCGGTCCCCCCGGCACACAGTCGGCTCGACGCAGACATCACCGGTCCCGCCCCGCCGACACCACAGTCGCTCGACACAGACCAGTCACCGGTCCCGGCCGGGCCCCGTCCGCTCAGTGTATATCCTGAGCACCCCCGCAACAGACTGTCACAAGTCCCAGTCGGACACAGTCTGGCATCAGGCCCGTCAGCGCACAACTATCACATTCCCGTTCTGACACTGGCTGACACCAAACCCGTCCAGACCCAATCTGGCACCAGTCCCGGTGCCTTCTGACAACAGTCCCGACCGACAGCATGCCGGTGGAGTACAGCCTTACACCAGACTCAGCACCACGGTCGTAAGGCACGTTGACACTATGTTGACTGCTGCAGAATCCGCAGCGGATTTCGCAGTCGTCAGATGTTTGCGCACAAGAAGCACCAACTTTACGCTCTTTTACCTACCCGCACCTTGCTGCCGACCTGACAAAGCCTGGGAGGCCTGATCATGTAGTACAACTGGACAACTGCCACACAGCACTGAAAATTGGGTTGGTGATCCTTACCATCATAACACAACTGGGCAATGCGATCAGCCCATTTCGTTTCGGGTTCTGAGAATGTCTGCATGGTAACCGCGCACTCGCCAGCATGACGCAACGCGGGAAATTCATAGACCGCAGATGGCATAGATGCGACAGTTGAGAAACCGAACACTACTGTCACTGTGAGGTGCACTGTATGATACGGTCCAGAGGAACAAGTACCTTCGTGGTGGGGTTTCCCAAAATGCTAACTACACTATCACATGACCACGTGACGTCACTCACCATGAGAGTCGACCAGCGGCACGCTGGAGAGCTTCTTGTTTTCTCGCAGCACCTGCCGCAGCTGTCGGTGGCTGATGCCGTGCCAGATGTACTGCACCTCCCGCACCATGATGTCCTCCACGTAGATGGAGTAGGCGTCTGCAGCCAGAGGACGACGGCGGCATGAAAACACGCCCAGAAGCTTGCTACCAACTTCGGTCATCACGCCGCGGCGGCATCTTTAGATGGTGATGACTGCATATGTTAGGACGCAAGTTCTCCTCATCTTTATGCTGTTTCCTATACTAATCCTGTTAGTGGTTTGATAAGCAAACTTGCTCCAAGTGTTGCAAACTTATGTTTTTGAACTGTTTGGGAAAGTCTAAGGGCTGTAAAACTCTATGTGGGTTCAGCCTGCGGGGTAAAATTACTCACATCCTCAGTTCCCTCGAAACATACGGAATATGTATATTGATTCAAGCCTATTTTGCGCCAAACATGCGTGCATAAGTGTTTTCAAGCGGAGCGAATAGTGCATGGCGTATCGGCCAGTAATGCCCATGACATATAATGTGGTTTACAGACAAAGCCTGAGCCATATTCCCTTGGTGACGTTATTGATACACACATTCGCACCTCGTCACTAGAGCTCCGGCCCCATATTCAGCCCTGAACATAGGTTTCGCATTAGCCAAAACATGAATTAAACGAGCAGAACTCGACTTTCACACGAGCAACATTACTGCCAATAAATTATCAGTCGCGAAAGGGCGTAGGACCGAACCACTCATTTGTCACGTTTTCAATTTTACATGACACCGGTCATAGCGCGTCTTAAATAGAGCAATTTCTCTTCAGGAGCGCGCCGCGGCGCTCCGTTGCTCAGCGAATGATCGCGTGACCTACTTCTTCCAATTTGGTCGCACGAGTGGTCGCCCCGCCCCGACGCCAACCGCCCGACGACGACCGCGGGGGCCGACGGCGGCGACGACACGGCCGGAACGACCGGCTCCGGACGGTCGAGGTCACCGAGCCACTGGCTGCCCCAGCGCGACGCAGTTTGCAGGACCACCGCACACCGGCGTACTGGGGCACTGTTTGAAGCAATCGATGGTTTAAGGGAGTGTTCCACGTTTGTATGGGGTTTTTAACTGAGATGTCATCTTGAAGATCATTCGGTGCAGTTCACAGCCCTGCCTTTATGACCTAAGCCTCTCTAGTTTCTGAGCTATACGCCCGCGAAGATGCGCATATGATTTCGGGGATACTATTTCAAGTCATCCGATATCCATGACGTCATAGTAACGTCATTCAAATCCTGCCATTCTATTAGCCCATGCGACGATCAGGGCTAAAATAAATATGATTGTCGGCCATTCATATCTGGCGTTCAGGAGTACGATTTCCAGATATAACGGCTGTCGATTGCCTTCCAATCAATGTTGCACAGGTAAGACGTCGTTATCACACAATGACACAATAAGAAACATATTACTAACAGAGAAAATGTATCTCTAGAGCACTCTTTTTCATAAGGAGCATTACAAGTACAAGTGTTCTTATTTCATCATAGCTGATGCTTACTTCTTATCTTCAATTAGAACATTCCCTTTTTCTTTTTCTCGCACAAGTCACAATTTCTGAGGAAGACTCTCTGATAACATTTCATCTCTAATTAAGCACGATCATTTTAGTCGGCAATTTTTTCGTCCATATCATGATAGTGACTTTTTAACAAAGTGAAATAATGCAACTAAACCTAAGTCTACCGATGATCAGCCGAATGCATGTTCGCGTCACATTGGATCACATGCATCCGGGAATACCTGCCATGGCTTTGGAAGAATGCGATTCCACATGATTCGATATTACAGCATTAAAACACCTTCTTGCCAGAAGCTCCGAGGAAATGAAAAAAACTGCCAGAGTCCCGGAAAACGGAGATCTATTCGCGCACGCGAGTACAGCTCTGTTTCTCGCACCCGCAGCTGGGCTGTTGGCGCTCCAGAAGACAGGCGCAATGGTGGTGTGACGTGGGATCCAATGGCTCAGTGAAATTTACGACTGCAAGCCACAGCTCAGCAGGGGTTAATTCCAGCTCCGTTCTTGAGGTGCTTAACGTGGCCGCAGCACACACAACCCGTATTTCGTGGGCTTAAACCAGTATTAAAAAGCACATAAGAAACGCAGTACATCAGTTCATATTTCAAACACGGCAGTCCAAGGAATGAACGGCCCGAAAACACCGGCGACCAACAGGGGCGTGCCGCCAGGACTGACTTGTGGACGTAAGTATGTCCGGCAGGTACGGCAGCTTCTTGATCTGGATGATGCTGTCGTATATGGATGGCTGCAACAGCTGCGATATGGCGTTCGCTATGAGCACTGCGATCTGCAACGCAGAAAACCAGGCGGTTGAATAACACCACGTCGCTGCTGACATGACTGAAAAAACGTGGCCACCGAACGCCTACATTGGCGATACATCTACATACATCTACATGCATCTACATACATTGGCGAATGGCGAGGAAGGGCACTGCCACCAACGCAGTTCTGTCTCTATTTGACTGCCACATCCTGCAGTGGTTCTGTCGTTCGCTGTTTAACTGCGCCTCTCCGCATGCTTGCTCTCCGCATGTTAATATGTCTCAAACGAACGCGTTTTGCTCTTTAAGTGGCGGTTTTTATCATTATCAGCTCCATTCGGACATCAGAAATGTTTTTGGCTTGTGCTGTACAATACCTGCCACGATACTGAATCCCGATGAAAAAGATATGGGCCCCAAAAGCAGGTTTGTGAAGGCTTTTTGTACGTTTGGTACAAATGCTTTGTTTCATTTTGGTGGGGCTTTAACAGTCTAACGTCCCTTTCTGCAATGCTTGACACTTTCAAGCAAAACAGCATAATAATATGCTGGCCGCTTGGCGAACTGATCACTCAAAAAGCAGACTAATCCAACACTCTGCTCCTATCAAATTAGACGCGCAGGAAACTTATTTTATTCTGTATCGTATTCCAGTTGCGCATTTTTTCTCGTTCTTGTATCTTTATTGATTTGATCATTTTATTGCATCATGCTGGTTAACACGCGCACGGTTGGCAGCCTAGATACCCCTCGCTCGGGTGGGGAGGGGGAGGGGGTCAATTCGACGCCGTCCCCTGAGATCTCGGAAGCTAAGAAAGCTAGACACCAAATTTACCGGGCGTGTTGACCTGTACGTGAAATCACTTAGCTCAAAGTTTCAGGTTCCTAGGTCATGACACTTGTGTAAAAAGGTCAAACAATGTCAAGTTCCAGGTTGGTCTCCAAAGTGCTCGCAGAATCTAGATAACCGTTGCTACGCAAAAGGTCCACATTCTCATTCAAGGTCAGTGACCTTGTTCCACCTTTTGAATGTCAAGGTGGCCAAAATCATACGATTGCTTTGAGTTTTGCATATGACTAAGCGACAAAGATTACGCTGGGCAGAATGTTCCTAAAACAAAATGTTGACCGAGTCATTTTGGGTCAAGGACCTATTATGACCTCAAGATGTCCATGGAAGATGCATAATGCGGTCGCTGCTATCAGTTAACTCGAAATGAGCACCAGAAACCATCCCATACAGCAAGCTCTAGAGTAACAAAACAAATTGGTTTTGTCCTAGGTGTGATCTTCATACCTAACCTTATGTCAATGTGATTTGCTCATTTAACTTTTGTCCTGCCTAAGAAAGCATCTCAGCGATGTATGGCTCGTCTAACACTCCGTTGATGGATCAGATTGAGGGATTCCCTAGAAATTGTCTTCGCTGAAACCATCGCCTGGCTTTGACCTGCCATGGGTCAGCGACCTTACCAGGTGGATCTAAATTTTACTGCCAAACGGTCCGCTACTCCATTGTGTACAGCTGTGCAAAATTTGGCGCGGCTAGGCCGCGCCGTTCGGAAATCATTCTGGAAAACCTTCCGGGGGGGGTCAATTTGACCCCCACCCGGGCGCGTGTTTATTTGGGTTACTGCACGTCATTTAAGCCATAAATTTCCAGCTTACCACATTTGTATGCATACTTGAACTAAATAACGTGACAGAACATTTTATTTGTGAATTTTTTAAGGGTGCACAGCCCTGCGTAAGTCATTGCTTCATTTTTTATTCCATGAACAATAACAATTTCTTTAGTTCCGGCCGTCACCGGTGGTGGCGCTAGTAGCACTGCACCGCGATATGACCGCGGCTGTTTCGTATCGACTCTCTATCCGCACAATCATGCCCGTCTCCATCCTATAACCACATGACGTACAGACCTTGCCTGTCCGTTTGTAATTTTCGTAGGTCCTGAGTACATGGTAGATCAGCGCTTTAACAGGCTTTCGCAAAGTGTTGCGCATAATATTTTTTGGATGTGCTTTCGGGACGATAGAGAAGAAGAGAGAGAGAGAGAGAGAGAGAGAGAGAGAGAGAGAGATAGAAGAGAGAGAGAGGAGAGAGAGAGAGAGAGAGAGAGAGAGAGAGAGAGAGAGAGAGAGAGAGAGAGAGAGAGAGAGAGAGAGAGAGAGAGAGAGAGAGAAGCGAGAGAGAGAGAGAGAGAGAGAGAGAGAGAGAGAGAGAGAGAAGAGAGAGAGAGAGAGAGAGAGAGAGAGAGAGAGAGAGAGAGAGAGGAGAGAGAGAGAGAGGAGAGAGAGAGAGAGAGAGAGAGAGAGAGAGAGAGAGAGAGAGAAGAGAGAGAGAGAGAGAGAGAGAGAGAGAGAGAGGAGAGAGAGAAGAGAAAGAGAGAGAGAAAGGAGAGAGAGAGCGAGAGAGAAGAGAGAGAGAGAGAGAGAGAGAGAGAGAGAGAGAGAGAGAGAGAGAGAGAGAGAGAGAGAGAGAGAGAGAGAGGAGAGAAGAGAGAAGAGAGAGAGAGAGAGAGAGAGAGAGAGAGGAGAGAGAAGAAGAGAAGAGGGAAGAGAGAGAGAGAGAGAGAGAGAGAGAGAAGGAAGAGAGAGAGAGAGAGAGAGAGAGAGAGAGAGGAGAGAGAGAGAGGAGAGAGAGAGAGGAGAGAGAGAGAGAGAGAGAGAGAGAAGAGAGAGAGAGAGAGAGAGGAGAGAAGAGAGAGAGAGAGAGAAGGAGAGAGAGAGAGAGAGAGAGAGAAGAAGAGAGAGTTATACATATATATATATATATATATATATATATATATATATATATATATATATATATATATATATATATATATATGCATACATATATAACTATAGTATCTATATAACTATACAATACAAAATCAACCAAACTTATGACCCACCAGGGCGAACACCCCACTGACTGACAATTCTTATAGAAACACAACCTTTTCATGAGTGTCTTGAAGCTAAACAATGGGATGATATATAAATACACAGACCCAACAAGCCAACTTGAGCTTAGCGGACATGATAAATGTAATGCAGTGTCCAACAGCTGGGGAATATGTTCGCGGTTTTGACTTCTGTCAACATTGCTTGTGGCTTTCATCCCACGAGGTGAGCATGACTCGACGTAGACGTGGCGTATACTTTTCCACTAACGTTAGGAGAGTTATATGCATGAATGCATGGATGACCCGGGATGAAGCTTGCCCATAACCTGCTATAACTTAGGGTCTTGACACCATTCGTCATAGCCGCTATCTGGATACTATGACCATGTTTCAGCTTTAACCGGACATCATCTTGAGTCTTTCGCCTCCCAAAGAGTGTTGTTGCATAATTTTGGAAGAGATTCAGAGCTAACGTAGTAATAGCCGTAAGAGCTTAAAATTGGCATGAAACGGAGGAGCATGTTCGTGCACTTCTGACCTGTACCATGCTGGCAGTGATTAAGGGTTAAAATGAAGTCAGGCCCAGGCTCGGACAGAATCATGCCATATAAAGGTCCGGCCACCCTATCCGCCATGATCCTTCTGCGCTTTTAAATCACACGTCACACAGAACTCATGGTCTTGGAAATGTCTCGGGTATGCTGATCTACTGGTCAGTAATGGCCGTGACAACTCAATCTGGTTCGACGCTGACAGGCAAAACTCAGATGGCCCCCGAAGGTTATGTTATCGTGTGCTATTTGCATAGCCCTGCGGGCGGCCCCATCAGACCATAAATTATATCAAAAATTGACCTAAAGAAGAAAGGAAACTGAAGGCAGTGTAAGAGGAGGAAAAACGGGATATAAGACATGACACTGATAAACTCACGTCAGGGGCCTGACCAAATATCTAATCACGTCCTGACCTTATATAATGCCTTCTTGAGGATGCGCTAAATGTTTCCTGACAGGTGATCACCAGCCTGACATATTTTAGGATTAAGAGTGCATTTAGTTAGAAGAAGTTTGCCTGACCTCTGCCGTGCCAGGATCTTATGCCGGAATAAAGGGAATACCCAGCGGAGTTGAAAAATTACAGTACACAACGGTAATAGTAGGCACAGCGGAGTGAAACCAATTAGATAGAGAACATGGCAACGCCATTTTACGCCACGCAAGCATTCCGCGAATTCAGGGTTTGCGCAAAGTGAAGTGCTATCTCCCGAGGTTAGATGCTCCTGATGATCCTGGTCTGCATGCAACATATGCGAGGGCATAACTATGTGCATTTTTTTCGGGGCAGGAGATCATAATCAGATCCATATTTGTCTGCCCCTTTACTCTTCGTATACAGAACCGTGCACACTACTTTGTATCGAGAGATGCTCTGACTCAGCCGCATTAAAATCGCAACCACATATACGCACACCAATGAAACGCTAACAAATTTATTACACAAGGAAGGAAAAAAGGGTCGGGACATATGCACGTCCTAACAATTTCACAGGAATCTCATGGGATAATGTTAGATGTGTGGCAGGTCATCAATATGTTCGGTAACGACGGCACAGAACGCTTTTGTCCGGGCGCAAATGTGTCATAAATCTCAATCCCGCTGGCTGTTCTCAACGGATTTAGTCATGCATTTTGGTAACGCTACTGCATGCTGGTGAAATGTTAAAGGAAATGTTCCACATTTGCATGGCGTTTTTAATTGAAATAGCCATCTTGAGGACGTTTTACATGCAGTTCACGGATATGCTCTTTTTGAGACCCAAAAAGCTCTGGGTTCTTGAGTTACACGCCCGCAAAGTACGAAAAGGCTTATTTACACCCAACTTCAAAATCGTCTTCTGATTAATGACGCCATAGAAACGTCGCTGGATCCCCGTGATATTACAGGCTGTTTTTCGTTTATGGTTCAAAACAGCATGGACGCTGATGCATTCGCAGAGGCGATGATGCTGCCACATGTGGTACAGTCCGAGGAAGATGATTGGTTGTCAGTAAGATTTTACTGCTGAATGCGTATCGCGAACACAAGCGTGAGCAACTTCGGGTTTTGCGACACTCGTTGTGAACGGGTCAT